GGCCTTTTTGGCGGAGCTATTTGGGGGTTTAGGGTTTGGGGTTTGGGGTTCAGGGTTCAGGGTTCAGGGTTCAGGGTTCAGGGTTCAGGGTTCAGGGTTTAGGGTTTAGGGTTTAGGGTTTAGGGTTTAAGGGTTTAGGGTTTAGGGTTGTTTAGGGTTTAGGGTTTAGGGTTTAGGGGGTTTAGGGTTTAGGGTTTAGGGTTTAGGGTTTAGGGTTTAGGGTTTAGGGTTTAGGGTTTAGGGTTTAGGGTTTAGGGTTTAGGGTTTAGGGTTTTGCGCTCTCTGAACTCTCGGAAGACGCTGAGGCATCCTCCCAATTCCCCTTTGGGCACCGGCGTCCTAAACCCTAAACATGCCTGAAGCCGGTCCTCCTCAACTTCTGAACCCCGGAACCCTGCAACCTCTGTGAGACCCTGGACCCTCTACAGCCCAGAAAGAGGAACAAAACCAGGCCCCAATCACACGCTTCAAAGCCTTCAAAGATTTAACCGAAGGACCCCAAGCCCCAAGCCTCTCCCCCACAAGCCCTTTACAACCCTCAAAGCCGAGTTCGAGCTGGTCCTCCCCAAAGACCAGAAGACAAAACACCTGCACGCCTGAACAAGCATGTTCTCCGGGGCAAGGGCAAGGAAGCACCACCGCGGGGCCTGTGCAAGAGCATGCGCTTCTGCAATACTGGCCTTCAAAGGGTTTCGGGTTTAGGGTTTTATGGCTTTTCGCAGTGCGTTGCTTGAGCCGTCGACACCGCCATCTAGCATAAGGCTCCAGCAGTTCACCCAAGAACGGACCCAGATTGTAAGTCCATGCAGGGTTTGGGTCTTCCTGAAAGATTTGAGGGGTGCGCAGCCCGGGTTCAGATCCGCGGGGATTCGAGTTCAAGCCGTTTAAGGATCAGGCCCAAGTGGGTTCAGAGCCCGGAACTGAAGATGGCAAGGGGCGAATCAGAGGAAAGCAGCCCTAGAATTTGAGCCGTCAAACCCCAAACCCTCAAACCCTAAACCCTAAACCCTAAACCCTACCCCCTCAAACTTCAAGGATTTGTAGGCCACCTGGGTACAATTCATCGGCCTTCAGGGTCCTCCCTACCTCAACCCCGCAACATCCCGAACCCCAACACCTTTCACCGAGCTCCACGTCTCCTCTAAGACCCCCAACCATAACTGCTGATGTGGACCAGCCGGCTGAGAAGCATAAATCAGTGGAGTAGCTACTGGGCCCAAGGAAATGAAGGGGAAACATGCACGAACTACGGTAGGCTGCGCTCCAGCGGCATGCGCTTCATCCGACACCAACCCTAAACCCCAAACCCATAAACCTAAACCCTAAACCCTAAACCCTAAACCCTAAACCCTAAACCCTAAACCCTAAACCCTAAACCCTAAACCCTAAACCCTAAACCCTAAGCCCTGACTTTCTCCCGAGGCCGAAGCGGCGTGGGTGCCGGCCCCGTCGGCTTCCGGGAGGCCAGCCATCCTCGGAAGGAAGAGCTGCGGGAGTTGAGGGGATTCGGGTTTAGGGTTTGGGGTTTAGGGTTTAGGGTTGAGGGTTTAGGGTTTCGGGTTTGGGGTTTGGGGTTTGGGGTTTGGGGTTTCGGGTTTAGGGTTTAGGGTTTAGGGTTTAGGGCTTAGGGCTTAGGGCTTTCCAACCCATCACATGGTCTCCTTCTGCCTTTACAAGCCAAGAAGAATGAAAGCCTGAGTGAACCATCCCCACCCCAAAAAAGAAAGTGCCCTAAACCCAAAAACTCGTGGCAAACCTCACCACCACAGGAACGAGAGAGCTTCCCTGACCCTACCTACCTTTAGGGGTGTAGGGCTTAGGGCTCAGGGCTTAGGGCTTAGGGCTTAGGGCTTAGGGCTTAGGGCTTAGGGCTTAGGGCTTAGGGCTTAGGGCTTAGGGCTTAGGGCTTAGGGCTCAGGGCTCAGTTCTGAGGGCTTAGGGCTTAGGGCTTAGGGCTTAGTTCTCAGGGCTTAGGGCTTAGGGTGTTTTAGGCCCTGAACCACAAGAGAGGAGTCCCTGAGGCCACCGCGAGCCCAGCGCAGCACGCCGTGGCTGTGGACCAGCTTCGCAAGGCCGACCTGCAACAACGGGTTTAGGGTTTAGGGTTTAGGGTTTAGGGTTTAGGGTTTAGGGTTTAGGGTTTAGGGTTTAGGGTTTAGGGTTTCGGGTTTCGGGTTTCGGGTTTCGGGTTTAGGGTCCTGCCTACCTCAACCCCGCAACATCCCGAACCCCTCCCACCTTTCACCTAGCTCCAAGTCTCCTCTTGAAAGAGTTCAGGGTGTAGGGGTTAGGATTTAGGGTGTAGGGTTTAGGGTTCAGGGTTCAGGGTTTGGGGTCCAGGCTTTAGGGTTGAGGGTTGAGGGTCTAGGGTTTAGGGTTCCGGGTTTAGGGTCTGAGGTTCAGGGTCCTTTTGGAGGTGGAGAAAAGATCCGTCGAGCCCCGGATTGAATGGAGGTCGACGGTTCTGGCTTGACACGGCCACTGGCACTTGCCCAACTCTTGAGGCTGTAGTGCTCAGAAGTGCAGAACCCCGATGCCCTGAATCCACAAGTCGCCCAACCCAAAACCCATTCGCAGGCCATATGGAGCATGCGGCACCTCGTCGCGCGAAACCAGGGCCTTACGAGAGCTGTACGGAGACGGGAGTTGAGGTTTCGGGCTCAGGTCTTCGCTGCTGAGGTCAAAAGGATTTGAAAGAGTAGCCCTAACTCGAGCTGTACAGTTTCCAGGTGCGACTAACCGGGTGGCTATGCCATGGGTAGGGCCAGGGGCTAAACGGCTAAGGATGCCGAGCGCAAGTTAACCGAACTAGCCCCCCCCCTCAGGGCCTTTACAGCCCGAAGCTCCAAATAACTTGCTGCGCCTCAAATGACCGTAAGCCCAGATTATGTTGAGCCCTGAACTCCCAAAGGGTGTCTGCTCCTACCACCTCAGCACCTCTCGGACGGACCCCACGTGCCAGTGAACCCGGAACGCTTTAAGCCCCCGAGCGCGGCAGATGCGGCAGCCCATGAGCGCAGTCTTGCGGCGAGTTGGAATTTGAAAGTTCTGGGGACACGAGGGGGGGGAGGGGGGGGGGCGTTTGGATGCTTTCCGATGAGCTTCGCCCTTTGGGGGGGGGGGGGGTTCTTGAGCTGACCCCATGGGATCTTTGGGATTCGAGGACTTTGGCACTGCGTGTTTTCCCCGGACTTGCCTGACGCTTGAGGAGCTTGAGTTGTTGGGCTAAGGGGTGTATGTCTTCAGAAACGGCGCCAAGGGGGCCACCGCTTTCCAGGTAGAACTTAAGACCCTGGGCGTTTACAAACTGTCCTAAGTGGACTCTAGACTGAGGACTGCGACGTATGAAGCCTCCAAAACCTCGGGCCTTGAGCCCGTCCGTGCCACCCACAATGTGCTGCAGCCTCGGTAGCTTCAGGGCTCTGCAGGGCTTCAGGGGCTCTGAAGTTGTTGTTCAAGGGTTTAGGGTTTAGGGTTTAGGGTTTAGGGTTTAGGGTTTAGGGTTTAGGGTTTAGGGTTTAGGGTTTAGGGTTTAGGGTTTAGCGTTTAGGTTTCAAGGTTCCAAGCTTCGGGAAAGAGGGAAAGGAGATCGAAAAAGGCTCGGAGTTCGTTGCGGGCATAAGCTTTGGCCTCGAATCCCACCGATCTCAAGCTCCAAGATCCACTCTGCGCACAACATCCTACCATTCGGGGGTCTACATTAGGGACCTTAAGTAAGAAAGCGTCTATCTTTGAAGAACAGGAGCGCACAAGGAGGTCGAACCCAGATCGAAACAACGGGGCGGAGCAACAAAGCGAGGACAAGAGAGAAAAGAGACAAAACCATGAGAAACATGCGGCTAGCAAAAGGGAACAACCAAAGAGTTTCCCAGAGCTTCTGTCGTTCTCATGTGTGTTCTTGCTGGTGTTCTTATTTTTCTCCATGCTATACAATCTCTTACTGGGCCTCCTTTTTGACGCCTTTGTTCGATTACACCTGTCTTGAACTCCTGTTAGGAATTCAACATAAAACGGTCATTGCCCTCAACTCGACACACATGTTTGGTGCCATATTGGCTTAGCATGTAGGTTCAGAAGAGCACAAGTTCGTGTACATGTTTAAGTCTGGAAGCTTCTCTCCTAGGGTTCGATTACCCCAGGCGTCCCTGCCACGAACTCTGTGCAAAATCATCTGTGTACACCTTCCCAGTCCTATGTCAGTCTTACACTCGTCTGTGAGCGTCCCGAGCTGCAGGGAGGACAGCGCTCGGAGTGAGGGAGGATCCAGGCAGTCCGTCAGCACCTGCGACGTGACTCAGGTCCAGGGCTCAGCGCGGCAACTTAAGGCTTGGCAACGTCCTCCCCCAAGCAGCACACATCGCCGCATCTACGTTACTGTTACACCTGCCAGATCGAAAGCCTGGGGCCCGCCCCAACCCCCAAGAGACCCTCGCCCTGAGCAACAGCAACTGTGGCAGCTGCGAGAAGCGGGCGCTTCTAGTTTTAGGGGGGCCCTTCACAGAATTGAGGATTAGGGGAGGGGAGGGGGGGGAGGAACGAGGCTTCGGAGGCCCAGGCTGCAGCCCTTTGACCACATCGTAGCTTCGGACGACTTCGGACGACTCAACTTGACTTGAAAGACCTCAACAACCAATGGAACATGGAGCTTTCAGCTCACTTCTCCATGAGGCTCAAAATGGCAGGCAGTCCCTGCAACAGCGGGCTTGCTGCTTTCCAGGGAACGTGACAGAACTACTCGCCACTTCTCACAGGCATACTCGCATCTCTTGTACACACACGATGGCGCTTGCGTGCGCGAGGGGCAAGCGTGAGCCTAAGAGCAATTGATAAACTCGACTTCAGGGACGGGCCCGCAAGCTCTCCAAGCAAGAGGCTCGAAAGCGTGTCTCAAAGCAGCTAGTTAGAGGAGAATCTGCCAGGAGTTCCCTCTCACCCTCCTCCTATGCAAGGTTCCCCTAAAACTATCACCTCTGAGTGCACTGGCGGAGCGGAAGTTCCGCTTACTGCTGGTCGGAGGACTCCTCGGGGCAGCTGGACGCTGCGCGCGTGTACGGAGTGTTGAGCTGTTGAGCTGCGGCGGAGGGGATCTGGGGTAGAAGACACCCTTCTTCGGGATCTACCAGCATTCTTGCTTGCCATGCCTTTATAAAGACATAAATGAAAAAATGCGCCGGGGCACGTTCTTGCCCTTCGACTGCCAGAAGTGCTTCTTCGCAAGGTTCATGACTTCATCCAGGGGCAGAGACTTCGGACCTGGCGCAGCCGTGTCGGTTTCGACTGCGTGCGCCGGTGCACCATGTGGCATGTTTGCCATGTTGACAAAACTCTGCTGCCCTAAACCCTAAACCCTAAACCCTAAACCCTAAACCACGTCCTCTCTCGAATTCTTGCTTTGGGCGCTTTGATGGTTTTTTTGGGCGGGGGCCTTTTCGAGGAAATGGGCGCAAGCTTTACGGGGGCAGATACTCTGAAGACGCCTTGTTGGGCCTTGAGCCCCGAAACTCACCCGACGTCGGGACTCAGAGATCCAGGTTTCAGGGGTCAGAACACAGGTTTCCGGGAGTCAACCAAAAACAGGGTCGAGCATGGGGATGTGGTTGGAAAAACAAGGGGTTGGGTGTCAAAAAAAGCAGGTGGGAGGCCCGTCCGAGGCAACAAGGGACAGAGGATCGAAAAAAACAGGGGCCCTGTTCGGGCAACTTGGAAACAGGCGCCTTGAAACGAAGGGGCCCGACCCAAAAAGCCCGAAAAAGGAGACCACCCGTGCAGGTTCGTCTGGGGGTTGAGGGTTGAGGGTTGAGGGTTTAGGGTTTGGGGTTTGGGGTTTAGGGTTTAGGGTTTAGGGTTTAGGGTTTAGGGTTTAGGGTTTAGGGTTCAGGGTTACTTTGGAGCTCAGGCTGGAGCGGGGCACGGAGTGCCTCGTGCTCAGGGCCCAAGGCACCACAAAGCCTCGAGCCCTTCAAGGATCCTAAAGCACTTCTTCAAAGCAGGGTTTAGGGTTTAGGGTTTAGGGTTTAGGGTTTAGGGTTTAGGGTTTAGGGTTTAGGGTTTAGGGTTTAGGGTTTAGGGTTTAGGGTTTAGGTTTTATGGTTTTGGGTTTAGGGTTTAGGGTTTAGGGTTTAGGGTTTAGGGTTTAGGGTTTAGGGTTTAGGGTTTAGGGTTTAGGGTTTAGGGTTTAGGGTTTAGGGTTTAGGGTTTAGGGTTTAGGGTTTAGGGAGAGAATGGCCGCAGACTGCATGTCCCCCTGGTTCTTAGTAGGGAATGAGGGAGTGAAGGTATTATGGGCACATGTAGGGCCCTCATTCCCTCATTCCCGACTAAGAAGCCGCCAGATGTGTCTGCGTGGTTTGAGACAGGGCTCCAGGGCACAGAGGGTTTAGGGGTTAGGGTTTAGGGTTTAGGGTTTCTGAGGTTCGGGGCTGGGCAATAGAGAGAATAACCGAAGATTTACGCTCTGAACCCCAGAATCCCAAAGTCACGGAGGATCAAGACAACTACGTGCTGAACAACGCAAAACAGGTCTGGGTCCCCTGGCGCTCGATAGGAAGACCGATGGCACGGGACCAAATGTACTGTGCCATCACACCAAGCCTTGTGGATGCTGGGGGATTCGACTATGTTGAGGTGCCAGCTTTTGGGGAATTGGCCACATGTTTTTGGAAAATATTTACATTCTACACATGTTTATACATACATGTGTACAGATGTATCGAACTGTAGACTGTAATAAGTGGGGCGCGCGCCGAGGGGGAACCTCGGGATGTTCGTAGGAAAACCTTCGCTTCCTCGATTTTCATAAGATTTCAGGGACCCATACAACCTGTGCGTTGCATAGGGAACTTCTCTTTCCTCTATATTTTTATAAGTGAACGGATAATATGCTTGAAAAGATCATCTGCATTACCTCTGTGCTTGAAAAACATAGCTCCTGTTCATATGTACCTTACACCTCTTTGTCCTCCATATATCTTAACCGGACAGATCCCACATGCTCATACGAAACGTCCATCTCCCCGAAGCTGAAAAGAGTACACATAAACGCCTCTAAGTCCTCGATATAGTTGACTGGAAACGCCTAAGTATGTTTCCTTTATATGTTTACAGTAGAGGAAAACTTCTATCTCTTCTCAGGTGCAACTGCAAGGCTCAAGACAAAGCTAACCCCACCACAACCCAGCGCCATCAAACCCACCACTGCAACAGCTCAGCGAAGATCCGACACCCGAAGGGATAAACTCAGAGGACACAGCCCAAGCCACGTCCGACTACTTCACAAGGCTCACCTCAGGTATCTCAAAGATCTACCAGGGAATCTACCTACTAGCCCTCTCTCCATAGGTTTCAGGGCTGAGACGGACGTGACTATGCCCTCTGGGAAAATTTGAGCAGGTGCCCATGCTCCTGCTTCTGCAAAATTTTCAAGATACTTCAAAAATATGCTGTGCGGCATCAGAGTGTGGCTGTCACAATGATGGCAGTTTCCACAACGTCGAGCTACCATATCCATCATGATTTGCCATCCCCAAACCCTAAACCCTAAACCCTAAACCCTCAACCCTATCGAAAACAACTTCTGAATTGTGGAAACTCGAGAATGAGCTTCTGCAAGCTCCTCCAAGGCAACGAGACCTACACTGAGAGGAAATCATCGGCCACGTAAACGTCCTTTGAAGTGGAGCCCGGCTCTTCCGTGCTCTGGTGGAGCTTTCCGAGCGTTCCGCTCCAGCTGTGCGCTTCGCTTAAAGAGGGCTTCGGGAATAAACCCTGTTGCCCTGGCTGCACAAGACTCCAGAAGAATGATGAGAGTTTCGCCTTAGGTGGCTTTAAAAGACAAATTGCCAGCAGCAGGAAGAAGGTGAAGGGCAGTGCGTTCAAAGGGCTCCAGTCATCCTCAGTCAGGTCCAGCGCAAGTGAGATGACGACGAAGACGAGCGCAGTGCCCAGGATGGCAATGGACGCAGAGGCAAGTGCCCGTACAATCCTAGGGCAACATTTCCAGCGCGACATCCATTTCCATAGCCGCATGGACACGAAGAGCAGCACTAGGATGGATGGCAGCCCCTTCGCCCAGTCAATCATCTCTGCCAACGCGTACAAGAACCGCAAGAGATCGTCATAGTGCTCATATTCCGGCCTGCGGCCAAGGTTCCCAACTTGGGAAATGAGATGGAGTCTTGGCGCAAGCCACGGAATGTCCCAAGCCCAGACCATGTAGATGAAGAGGTCAAGAGGAATCAAACTGCTGTTGAGGCGCTGTTCTGAAATTCTATCAGACAGCTGACTCCTGACCGCACCATCAAAGACATCTAGGCCGGACGTGCTTCCTGCTGAGATCTCGTGGGATATGGATGATATGGTACGTCTGACCTCTTGGTCATCATATGCATCACTCACCGCCTGGTACACAACTTCCCTGTCACACATGATCCTTTTGCCAGTTCTGGGATGTCTGTGCTTGAAGAAGCAACAAGAACATTGGCTGTCTGCAATGCTGAACTGTTGTAACTGCTTTGGCAGCTTCTCCAAGTCTTGGACCAAGCCCATTCCCAAGTAGCTCTGCATCACGAAGATGACCGGAACCAACAGAAGCATTAGGCCGAGCCTCACAAGCAGCCTCAGGCCGCTGTCGTCCCAACCGGCGGTGGCAGCTTCCACCACGGTGAGCTGCAATCGCACACAAAGCCATGCTGCGCTGAAGAGGCAAAGGATCACCGGCATGGTGACGGGTACCAGCTTGATCTTCCGCAGGCGCTCGGGCCGGCGGAGGAACATGGCAATCTCGTAGGTGCACCAAAGCCTCAGGGGCTGAGCACCCTAACCCAAAAAATGGTCAACCTTTTCACTTCTGGCAGCTGAGTACCCAAACCCAAAAAAAGGTTAACCTTTTCACTTACAATAGGAGTATATAAGCCCCAAAAGGCTAAAGGTGACCGACTCAGCTGCTAAGAAGCCGAGTGAAGTATCTGGGCGACCAAATCACGGTAAGCTCCTTCGCGCACTCCAAGTTGTTTCCCAGGCCCATGATGCCTCGCGTCTTCAGCTTGTCATTGTGCTGAGGAATACACAAGATGTCCAGGAAGACGTTCTTAGGGCCCAGAAGAAGGGCTCGGACACGCTGCCAGAAGCAAAGGAGTAGCAGGAAGGACAGGTGCGGGATGATGGCTACCCACCTTCCTTCCGGAAGGATCTCAAATGCCTGGGGGTTTAGGGTTTAGGGTTTAGGGTTTAGGGTTTAGGGTTCAGGGCTTAGGGTTTAGGGTTTAGGGTATAGGGTTTAGGGTTCAGGGTTCAGGGTTCAGGGTTCAGGGTTCAGGGTTCAGGGTTCAGGGTTTAGGGTTTAGGGTTTAGGGTTTAGGGTTTAGGGTTTAGGGTTTAGGGTTTAGGGTTTAGGGTTTAGGGTTTAGGGTTTAGGGTTTAGGGTTTAGGGTTTAGGGTTTAGGGTTTAGGGTTTAGGGTTTAGGGTTTAGGGTATAGTGTTTAGGGTTTAGGGTTTAGGGTTTAGGGTTTAGGGTTTAGGGTTTAGGGTTTAGGGTTTAGGGTTTAGGGTTTAGGGTTTAGGGTTTAGGGTTTAGGGTTTAGGGTTTAGGGCTTAGGGTTTAGGGTTTAGGGTTTCCGGTTTAGGGTTTAGGGTTTAGGGTTTAGGGTTTAGGGTTTAGGGTTTAGGGTTTAGGGTTTAGGGTTTAGGGTTTAGGGTTTAGGGTTTAGGGCCTGGAGCATTCCCAGGATGACAGACAAGAGCAGGGTGGTCCAGAATGCGGCGGGTGCATTGAAGACGATCATCAAGGAGAGCACTTTCATCCAGCGCGGAGTTCCCCAATCGTGGCTGAGAAAGTGGTCGTAGGAACTGACTCGCCGTACCTATACTCCCCTTAGAACCTTAATAAACAAAATCATATTCTAAATACCCTCTTAAGTTTTACATGAACAAAAACTAAACAAATAAATCCCAAGGGGGATATAGGTACCTGAGCTGTGGTCGACGCGTCCACTGTGGCGCTCGAGGAGGCGAAGTGCTTGCCGAAGCCGCGGAGGCAAACGTGAAGTGGTACTCCATGGGGTTCCAATGGTGCCAGCTCCGTCGAACTGCTTTCTAAAGATCCCGGTGACTCCATGGCGCTTCTTTGCTACTGCTGGCCTGGATGTCAGGGTCTAGGGTTTAGGGCGCGAGGCAGGGCCTGAGACTTAAGCCTCTTTGGGTCTTATTATTATTATTATTATCATTATTCATATTATTATTATATTACAATTTCTAGTATTACTACTACTTTTATTATTATTACTATTATTATTACTATTATTATTACTATGTTTACCGTTGTCCTTATTACTTAGGGCCTGGACTTTGCGATCGACTGCTTAAGGTCTTGGAGCTCGCGCCGAGGGAACTTGGATTTCAGGAGCCGCTGCGACCTTCGCATGAAAACTTGAGCCCAAAGTGGCGTGTGTCTTGGGTTGCCCTAAACCCTAAACCCTAAACCCTAAACCCTAAACCCTAAACCCTAACCCCCCTTGGAATACCGCAAGGATCCGCAAGGCTAAAGTTGCCTAGGACATACCTGCAGCTCAGTAGAAAGCCGTCTGGGTTCCTTTAGATGTTTTATGGGCGCGTGTACTTCTCACGAACCTCAGTTCTTCTAAAGCTTACTGGGTAAAGCCTTTATGTCACATCCAATTCTAGCAACGAGTAGATGCCAATCTATTTAGATTCCTGTCGGTGTTTATTCTTATCGAGTCTCACAAACCGACATTTCTTCTATACTTTATTTGGAAAACCTCTATGTCCTCCTTCTTTTGTGTGGTCTCAGAGCACAGCGGGGATTTGAATGGGGAACCCCCTAAACCCTAAACCCTAAACCCCAAACCCTAAACCCTAAACCCTAAACCCTAAACCCTAAACCCTAAACGAGAAGGAAAGCCCTACCAAGTGCCGGGAGACGTCCGCGACACGGCGAAGACCACCTCGTGGAGTGGGCTTTTAAGGCTGTGAGTCGGCGCGTTGAGGGCTTTCGCGGGTCGGTTTTGGGAGCTGCAGGGGTTTAGGGTTTAGGGTTTAGGGTTTAGGGTTTAGGGTTAGGGTTTAGGGTTTAGGGTTTAGGGTTTAGGGTTTAGGGTTTAGGGTTTAGGTTTTAGGGTTTAGGGTTTAGGGTTTAGGGGTTAGGGCTTAGGGCTTAGGGCTTAGGGCTTAGGGTCTAGGATTTCGGGTTTAGGGTTTAGGGTTTAGGGTAGCTTTGGGGGCAAGAGTGGAAATTGGGAGTTGAGCAGCTGGGCGAGCTTGGAGTTGTTTTAGACTTAAGGCAGGTTGCTGACTTGTGTTTTGGCCTGATCCTTGTCTAAGGAAGTGTTTAGGGCCTTCCTGGGATCCTACCAAACTTCCATCCTTCAACATCACACGTGACAGTTTCGCCTAGGTCGGGTCTTGAGCAAGCCCCACTCAGCTCACTTTACGGCTCGATGGTTCGAGGGCTTGAAGGTTTAGGGTTTAGGTTAAGAATAGAATTATTTTCATCAGGAAATAGGATTATATCTCCAGAAAACCAGAACTTCTATAATATAAGCATTACATTGCATGGCTTTCTTATGATCTTCTTTTTAGTACTGCCTGGCCTGTTTGGAGGATTTGGAAATAATTTTGTACCTATCTTTCAAGGGTCTCCAGAAGTGGTATATCCTGGAGTCAATATGTTTCTATCTTAATTCTTTTACTTTCATATCTTTTCCTAATCCTTTCTATAATCTCAGAATTTAGAGGTGGTACAGGATGAACATTTTTTCCACCATTAACCACTTCTTTTATGACTTTATCAGCTTCAAGTACAGGAAATCTTATATTTGGATTATTAATCTCTGGTATATCTTCATGTCTTACATCTCTTAACTTTTGGACAACAATTCTAAATCTGAGATCTTATTATCTGACATTAAAGACTATCCCATTATTTCCTTGGGCTTTCTTGATTACAGCTTTCATGCTCCTGGGGAAAAATCTTCTGAGGCCCCTGGCCGTGTAGAAGTTCTCCTCCTTCAAGTTGTAGAAATGCCTGGGGTTTGGGGTTTAGGGTTTAGGGTCTAGGGTTTGGGGTTTGGGGTTTAGGGTTTAGGGTTTAGGGTTTAGGGTTTAGGGTTTAGGGTTTAGGATCTAGGGTTTAGGGTTTAGGGTTTAGGGTTTAGGGCTTAGGGCTTAGGGCTTAGGGTTTAGGGCTTTCACAGTGCTAGTCCAAGGCCGCTCTGACTACAGTGCTGGCTCATAAACTTCGCAAGATCTGTAGGGTTTCATGGGCTCAGGGCAACTCAAACCCTTGCACCCGGGGTACGCGGGGCAAGACAACCCAAGAGAAAACCCCAAGGAGGAAGCTGCAAACCACTCCAGGCAAGATCACATGAGCTGGCCGCTGTGCGCGTCGACGTTGGGGAAAGGATTCTTCACCTGCAAAGGCCAGGGAGAGGGTGGCCCTGCGGGCGACTACATGATGTTCTAGAGAACGAACCCACCCTCGGGACTCCAACCGCCTGTTTACCTTCCGTCATCTCCCTGTCGCACTAGTGGAATCAGCTTCAAAACCTAAGAAAAGGCCCCTGTGATTGCCTCCGTTCGTTGGTCCCAATAATGGTTGATCTGGGGCTGGTCCAAATGCTGGCTAGTAGGTCACTAGTACCTTCATACTGTTCGTATCTTTGTCTCTGGAGTGCAGGTTTGGGCTTCAGCCACCTTTTATACGACGGCCACCTGTTGAGTTCGCAGCCCAATTCTCCTGGGACCTCTGGCCCGGAACTTCACTTCTGAAGCAATGGATCTTAAACTTAAACGCTTCAGAAGAGCTTCCCGAAGAAACACAAAACCCTAATCTAGCACAAACAGCACTCGGTTCCTCCGATGGGCAGAACGCCGCTCCTGAACCCCAAGCTTTGCTGGTAAGAAACAAAAGCACACCGCGACCCGAACCGCACCCCCACATTCGCTGTTTGCCCCGCTAGAAGCCCCCAAAGCCATGGTGTCGGATCCCTAAACCCTAAACCCTAAACCCTAAACCCCAAACCCCAAACCCCAAACCCCAAACCCCTAAACCCCAAAAAGTGATGCCCATAAGCCTTGAACCCTCCCGGAATCTCGGCTTTGGGGGGGGCCCACCTTCCCCTGCTTCTCCAAGACCTTGGGAATGGCCTGGTAGCAGGCGTCCACCAGCTGAAACAGAGGGTCCTTCCACAGACCCTAAACCCTAAACCCTAAACCCTAAACCCTAGACCCTCGCATATTTCATCATATTTTCCGAGATTCGGGGGCTAGTCAAGAAAAGGGCATGCCCTTTCAGCCGCGAGCATCCCGCACTTCGCGACTCTCCTACGACAGGGCGTCATGCTACTGCTGCTTCTCTCTTGTGGGGAGGCGGTGGGTGGCTCCTCCTTGCAGTGCTCCAGCGCAAACTCTCGCTCCAGCATGTATCGCCTAAGGCGAGTGCAGGCAAGATCAACCCCCTCAAATACGTGGAGGTCTCAGGGTTCAGGGCGCCCTCCACCAGCAAAAATATTGATGAATTAACGTTCAAGCGGAAAATGAGGACAACCAGAAAGCGCAAGCAAGCAGTTGCTTCGGCTCTGCGAAACCCAAGGTCACCTGCACACAGCTGCGCTAGTATCGCTAGTTCTCTGCACCCTGCCCTGCGTTGCAAGCGTTGCACCAACAGGTCCTCTCTATTTCCAGACCTGTTGCCCTTGTGAAAAACTCAAAGGCACCTGCAAAAACGGGAGCTTGGGGGTTCACAAATGTTCACAAGGCCACGGCTCCTGTTGGGTAAAAGGCGATCGGCCTCTTAACCCTCTCCAAAGCCAAACAAAATCTACATCTTTGCCTATGCAGTGAGAGGAGGTCCGGAGTAGCGGCTTCACAGGGATGGGGAGCGGGGGAGTTCGGGTTTGAGGGAGTTGTTTCAGCGATAAGTGCCAGCAGCACAGTGGCCAAGTTAAGCTCCCAATCCCGATACCCACTGTCTCCAATGCACTCCAAACAATGGGGCAAGCGACGGGTCCGTGTTTCGGAGAACGGCATGGCCGAAGCCCGGAATCACCTGTCGCGGGTTTTCCCGTGTACCCGGCGCCAAACAAAAAAATCCACCAACTCTGGGAACGGGTTGCGTAAGAGGGCCCCAATTCGTCCCCTCGGCCCGGACTTAATGGCCGTAAAGCCCGTTTAGTTGAGAGGGCTGAGAGCACGCCTTGCCCTCCTTGAGCGTCTTGTTCGCAAAATCGGTGAGCAGCTCCTGGCATCGCGCCGAGGCTTGTCGTTCAAGGCTTCAAGAAGGGTTAGGGGTTTTAGGGTTTAGGGTTTAGGGTTTAGGGTCTAGGGTTAAGGGTTAAGGGTTTAGGGTTTAGGGTTTATGGTTTAGGGTTCGGGGTTTTAGGGTTATACGTGGTGTCTACATTGGGGGCGCCGCCCAGAGATCCCTCTCAACGACTTCCTAACCCCCAGAGGATGTTGCCCTCAACCCTCATCTGCCCTAAGCCCTACACTCCTGAGGCGCCATGACCCCTCAACCAAAGCTGTACGCCTCGACAGCTCATGCAGGATTCTGGCTGCTGGGCTCGCAAAACCCTGAGTGTCTTTACCCTAGATAGGTCGGGGCTGCTGCTCCTAAAACCCCTAAACCTCTAGACGCTGAAACCCTAAACCCTAAACCCTAAAGCCCGAAACCCTAAACGCTTAGACCCTAAACCCTACTAAACCCTAATATCCCTCAGCACCCCAACCAGCTGCCTTCGTTGGCGTCTGCCCTCCCAGCTGCTTCTGCACGTCTAGGAGCCAGCCCAAACACTCCTGTGATCGGTTGAGAGGGTTTTGGGGTTTGGGGTTTAGGGTTTAGGGCTTACTTAGGGTTGAGGGTTTTGGGGTTTGGGGTTTAGGGTTTAGGGCTTAGGGTTTAAGGGTTAAGGGTTAAGGGTTAAGGGTTAAGGGTTTAGGGTTTAGGGTTTAGGGTATAAGGTTTAGGGTTTAGGGCTTAGGGCTTAGGGTTTGGGGTTCAGGGTTCAGGGTTAGGGCTAAATCAGCAAAACCGCAATCCCACCATAAACAACCGGCCCAAACCGGCGAAGCCCTCGAAGCTTCGCCCCCCCCCCAACTGCTGCAGTGTTCCTGGTTGGCCAGGCCATGCAGCGGGCCAGCCAGACCTTGGTTCATGTCTTTGCTAGGCCCTCAAGGCTCGAGGATTGAGAGGCTGAGGGGGGTCTTAGGGTTTCAGGGAACTTCCTGCGGTTTTTGGGGGGAGCAGCTCGTGCAGCTGGCGCAACAAGGGGTTCTTGGGTCGCGCTTTAGAGGCCTCGGGCGAAGCGGGAGCCGGAGACACTCAAGGCCCGGGGTGGGCTACCCTAAACCCTAAACCCTAAACCCTAAACCCTAAACAAAAGGACTTTAAGCCTGACTCTTCAAGTCCCTGAGCCTCTCATGAGGGTACAACACATGCAACACCCGACGCCCTACCGAACCAAAAGCAAGATGCCCATATTCACTCAGCCTCTTAATAAGCCCCATAGGAGCTCTAAAAACCCTCTAAACCAGCACCCCAAATAAGGCTGAAGCCTCAACCTCAACGCAGCAAACTTGAAGCACACATCCTAACCCAAACCCTACAACCCTCAACCCGCAACCCCGAAGCCCTTCAATGTTGAACCCCTAAACTTCTACATTTCAACCCCAAGACCCTTATCGATCACTCAACCCCGAAAAAACCTCTTCTTCGGAACCGAGCCGCCACAGAGACCGGCTGCCCAAGCGTAGTAGGGATCGCTCAGGGCCTTCACTGCCCCAGCTTCCACCCTAAACCCTAAGCCCTAAGCCCTAAGCCCTAAACCCTAAACCCTAAGCCCTAAACCCTAAACCCTAAACCCTAAACCCTAAGCCCTAAGCCCTAAGCCCTAAGCCCTAAGCCCTAAACCCTAGTTCGGGCCTTAGATGGCTGAGAGCCCTTGGGATAACACTTTGAGGATGCCAAGCGGCGGAGCCCACGAGGTGCGTGGCGTGGGCTGAGACGTTGCCACCCTCCTCGGAAGTTGATTTTCTTAGCCTGGGTTTAGGGTTTAGGGTTTAGGGTTTGGGGTTTGGGGTTTGGGGTTTAGGGTTTAGGGTTTAGGGTTTGGGGTTTAGGGTTTAGGGTTTAGGGTTAGGGTTTAGGGTTTAATGTTTAGGGTTTAGGGTTGAGGCCGGCTTCCAGGTTGTTGAAATGTTGGTGAAGCTGAAAAAAAAACCCAAGCCGAAACCCCCATCAGTAGGGTTTCGGGTTTAGGGTTTAGGGTTTAGGGTCTAGGGAGTTCAGGGAGCCTGTTGGGTGGGAACCCGTAATCTTTAGAGACAGCAGGCACTCAGAGATACGAGAAGTCATCAATGCTTGGCCGCAACCGCCCGACGGAAGAGCTACAAAACATTCTAATCAGTTTACCTACGCATGCAGCTGCCGAGGTTCTACGTAGGGCAGAGTGGCAGCACTTCGAGGCCCCGGCGTGGTCAGCGTGCAGCATCAGGTAGAGCCTCGTGCACTCGTTGAAACCTTCGTCCTGCGAAGTTTCGCTCTGAAGCTTCGCTCCGCATCTTTATGAGAGCCTTTGTCTCCACAGCCTCTTCCGGCAGGCTGACGAGTGCCCTGCCGCCCCAGAAGACCCTTGCAAGATCTGCAGGTTTTCGCCCTGGCTTAGAACTCGTTTTTGTTTCTGATGTTGCCGGAGCTTTCGGGCCCCTTGGGTGCCTCTGGACAGCGACTGCACACCCCTGACGTTGTACCGTTGCACCCCAAACCCAAACCTGAACCCAATCCCGACATGCGCCAAAAAGCCCCCCAAAGGCACAACCCCCTCATTGCTCTCATTTACTTACGAACGCACTGGAGCATGCTGGAGATCCAAAGGCCGCTGCCTGATCCCTCGTTGTTGGGCGAGGGTTCTTGCGCGATCGTGCGCGCTCGGCATGATCGATGCCGGCCCCCCTAGACCCCATAGAGCACCTCAAAGCTGGATCCTAGAAAAAGCTGAAGACTTCTCTCACTTAGGGTTCGGGGGGGCATCAAGTATCCCGAACCTTCAAGGAGCCCCCCACGCTCTCCAAAGCCCTGGGTCCCCCTGGTATTACGCAGATGCCCTGAGTCCAGGCGTGTCCTTGTTGATTCCGAGCATCTGTGCAAAATTCGCCTCAGAGCACCAACGACATGTGGAGAGGTCGAGGGGTTTGGGGCCCGAGGGTGCAGCGTGTCCCGGGCCTTGCACTTGAGAACCGACAAACAGGGGTTTGGGGTCTCAAGCTTTGAGGCTCAGATATCCAAATCAACAAAACCCTCGCAGAACAGAGCTGGTTTAGGCGCCCAAAAGCGCCACCCAAGCCCTAAACCCTAAACCCTAAACCCTAAACCGTAAACCGTAAACCCTAAACCCTAAACCCTAAACCCTAAACCCTAAACCCTAAACCCTAAACCCTAAACCCTAAACCCTAAACCCTAAACCCTAAACCCTAAACCCTAAACCCTAAACCCTAAACCCAAAGCCGCGCAAGGCACCGCCCAATCCAGGTTTGGGTTGTACTCTGGGACGACGCCATCCTCGCCATTTGTGCAAGTCGAGACTGGTTGTTTGAAGATTCCAGAATGTTTCCCTCAGCTCCCCCTAAACACCCCCTAAGCTTCCCCAAGCTCCCCCCAAGCTCCCCCTAAGCCCCCCCCCCCCCCAAGCCCCCCCTAAGCTCAGGTCTGAGGATGTCTGAACTTTCAGGCGATAGGGGTTCTGCAGGCTACGGGTGGTGCAGCCCTGGCCCTGGGACGAGGCATGCCGATCAACAAATCGCGCCCAAAAACGCTCCGCACAAGTCGCTGAATGACCGTGCGATAACCCTCCTGAGCTTCTGAAACGCCGTGCTCAAGCCAGCAAACAGCCAAACTGATTCTTCACACATTCGCACGCCAGTCACAAGGCTTTTAAGTTTTTGGCACCCTCAGCTCCTAACTTTAAACCCTCAGACCCGAACCTCACAGGCACCAAACAAACCGTGAAGTCAACAGAACACATTAGGCGAAGAGCGTTGCGCGACATCCCGACAATCCCCAGGCAGGAGCTTCTACAGCCCTCCGACAGTCTCCAATATAGGGGCCTTATTTTTTTTGAATGGGTATTTGGGGCTTTTATTCGGGACCATAAGGGAAGATTATTTGTTAGTTTCCGACTCCTATATTCAACGTTTTGTCAGCCCTGCATCTGAAAGCACTCGGCCTTGAAGGTGCGGCGGTAGATCTTCGCGGCTACCACCGGGATCTTGGCGATCAGGTCCAGTGCATCCTCCCATGCGAGGCGTGCGATTCAAACCTTGTTCCGATAGTCGTTCTGGCTGGAGTCTTTGTGCTGGAAGCTTGTCAACCAGGCTCACGGAACTATTCTCTACTTGGCTGCACTTAAGAGGGCAGCAAATAATTGAATTCTTGCTGCCTTTATTAAGAAACCCAATAAACCCAAAAAGGCCAAGGATCTAAAGTTACAGTAAAGCACCACAAAGTCTAGACCCGAGATCCATCCTGAAAGTCGTGCGAGCGCAGCGTTGGCCACGTTCATGCACGGGCAGTCAGGTCGCTTTCAGGGCAGCTACGGGAATTCCGCCGTGAGTTACTGAACCACACATCCCAGCCGATAAGCCTTTGCGATCCTTTGCGAACGACATGAAACCTGACCCTGCAACGCCAATAGCTTCGGATTGAGGCTTCAGACCCTCAGGTCCTCCAGCGCATACTGCCAATACTCGTCTTTCTTCATGCCAGTGTTGTATTGCCGTGCAAACTTTGAGTCCTCCAGGGCGCGTTGAAGCCGAGACGGCCCTAAACTCCAACCCTGATAAGAACCTCAAGGCCGCCGAAACCCAGTGTCAGATTGGGCTTAGACACCAGGGGTCGCTTGTTTCCGGGACTTTGTGTGCAAGTGTGCATTTTTTTCTTGAGGTGCGGCGGGCCATGAATTTACCGGCGAGGACGAGCCCTAAACCCGAAACCTTGGGCTCCGGGGAGCACCCGATCAACTGTGAACAAAACCAAAAAGACTGCCCTAAGCCCTCCTTCTGCAGGGCCAGCATGCTCACGGAGAGCTGCGTCATGGGGTGGGTCTCGATGGGAAGGGAGTCGATGGTGGCCATGACATTCCTTACCCGAGGGCGTGTTTGGGGCTTCGGCTGCGCGGCCCCTAGAACAGAGATTCTAGCTTTGCAGGTTTAGGGTTTAGGAATGGGGGGCATGGCGTTCCCCAGCAGCCCCAACAAGAAACCACCGGGAAACGTCCCATCCGTTGGCAGATCCAGGCTAACAAGCCGCCGATGTCGGGCTGCTTTCAGGTTCGGGAGGGAGCGGGGGGGGGGGGTTGGGGTTCAGGGCCTCACGCAAAAGCCCCAAGCACGCTCATGATCTCGGGTGCTGGGGGCTGAAAGTAGCCTTCCATTAGACCAGCACTTGCGGCTCTAGAGAGCTCTCGCTCAGATCATCTATAGATGGGTTGGCGCGGAATTAGGCTTCATCCTAAACCCCTCAACCCGGAATCCCAAACCCTAAACCCTAAACCCTAAACCCCTGTTCAACTCCGAGTTTGAGAGAAACCGATCCAAATAGGCCGGCAAGGCTCGGAGGGATTGTTGCACGCTTGTGCAACTCCTCCGTCATGCCCTGGCAACTCGTGCGGCTGGTCACTGGCTGTGTAAATGTGCGTCCACGTTTAGGGTTTAGGGTTTAGGGTTTAGTGTTTAGGGTTTAGGGTTTAGGGTTTAGGGTTTCGGGTTTAGGGTTTCGGGTTTCGGGTTTAGGGTTTAGGGTTTGGGGTTTAGGGCTTCCCTTGCGAATATCTAGACAGCAGGCTTGTTTCTGTCACTGTCGGGAGCCAGACCCTGAACCCTGTAACACTCTAAATGTTCGTGAGCACCACGGGCTGACTGGAGGGCTGGAATTTCACAATCTCTCCCATGGGGTTGGAGTTTAGGCAGACAGTTGGGAAGCCCGTCCTTTGTTTTGCGCGAGCGCTTCCTTTGACAACCCTCGGGAGATGCACCCCAAAGTATTAAAACCCTAAACCCTACTAAACCCTAAACCCTGAACCCTAAACCCTAAACAGTAAAGAAACAACCCGAGATTGGCCTTGACCTCCAACTCGGTGGGAACTTCCCCCGTCAGCAGCAGCCAAAAAGCACCCTGTGCCAAGAGGCGTTAGGGTTAGCCCTTTAGGGTTTAGGGTTTAGGGCTTAGGGTTTAGGGTTTAGGGTTTAGGGTTTAGGGTTCAGGGTGTAGGGTTTAGGGTTTAGGGTTTAGGGTTTAGGGTTTAGGGTTTAGGGTTTAGGGTTTAGGGTTTAGGGTTTAGGGTTTAGGGTTTAGGGTTTAGGGTTTAGGGTTTAGGGTTTAGGGTTTAGGGGGGTTTCTGCGACCCCTCGGTATGGTTTTTCAGGATGCCATCAACTCCACACTGTCACGAGCCCAGGACACTAACATGAGAACCCTGCAGCATGATAACCCCGGTTTAGACAATGGCAGCGCAACAATAGTCTAATAGTACAACAACCGTGACCCAATCAGACTTTCGGGGTGTGGTGAGCTTCGTGAGCCTAGCACCTCAGAACGTGAGCGGTTCAATCTGACCCTCTGATGTCCCAGATCCAACAAGACACCTTGTCGACGCCCGAGACCCCGAACTCCGCACGAGCAACACACCCTAAACCCTAAACCCTAAACCCCCAACCCCTAAACCCCTAAACCCCTAAACCCCTAAACCCCAAAACCCCAAAACCCTAAAACCCCTAAACCCCTAAACCCCTAAACCCCGAAACCCCAAAACCCCAAAACCCCTAAACCCCTAAACCCCGAAACCCCTAAACCCCAAAACCCCAAAACCCCTAAACCCCTAATCCCCTAAACCCTGAACCCCTGAACCCCTAAACCCCTAAACCCCTAAACCCCTAAACCTCTAAACCCCAAAACCCTAAAACCCCTAAACCCTAAACCCCGAAACCCCAAAAAACCCCAAAACCCTAAACCCCTAAACCCCTAAACCCCAAAAACCCCCAAAACCCCAAAACCCCTAACCCCTAAACCCCGAAACCCCTAAACCCCAAAACCCCAAAACCCCGAACCCCTAATCCCCTAAACCCTGAACCCCTGAACCCCTAACCCTAAACCCCTAAACCCCTAAACCCCTAAACCCCAAAACCCCTAAACCCCTAAACCCCGAAACCCCAAAACCCCAAAACCCCTAACCCCCAAAACCCCTAAACCCTAAACCCCTAAACCCTAAACCCCTAAACCCCTAACCCCCTAAACCCCTCAACCCCTAAACCCTAAACCCTAAACCCTAAACCCTATACCCTAAACCCTAAACCCTAAACCCTAAACCCCCCCCCCCGGCAGCCTCGGGAAGTGCGCACTTGCCACCTGGAGCCTTTGGCAGCTCCTGCAATCGGGGGTTGAGGGTTTAGGGTTTAGGGTTTAGGGTTTAGGGTTTAGGGTTTAGGGTTTAGGGTTTAGGGTTTAGGGTTTAGGGTTTACTGTTTAGGATTTAGGGTTTAGGGTTTAGGGTTTAGGGTTCAGGGTTTAGGGTTTAGGGTTTCGGGTTTAGGGTTTGGGGAGTCTTAGGTCTGGGGCGGGGTCGTCTCACCTCTCCACTCTCTTCCGGCCTTGTTGACATCGTACAGAGAAAGGTGCCGATAGCTGATTCCGCTGTTGGCATCCAAGTCAGAGGTCTCCTGCAACTTCACGGCGATTCTCGAGATCACTGGTTTGTTTAAGGTGTGCGTGGTCCCGGCGTCCCCCCCCCCCCCATATCGTGTACACCCTGGACGCTTGTAAAGGCTCCCCCGGATCGCTCGCAAAGGCTCCCCCGGGTGAGCCCGGATGTGGGTCAAGACCAGTTCAGGACCACTTTCTTCTTGGACCCATGCGGCTCTCTCAACATTGAGTGCTTCCTTCTCAGCAGCTTGCCAGAGTGGGCCAACACGACCCTACAATCCTTCTAAGAATCAAAATTTTCTCGAGGACCTAACGGCACCCAAACGAAGCCATCGAGAGCCCTTGTTGCTGTTGTGCACCCCCCCTATTGTTGCGTGTAACAGAGATGACGGTTGATGTCCGTATGTCATTTAGGGTTGAGGGCAATCGTTGTTGGGCTTTGGCCAAGCCGAACACTAAACAAAACAAGAGGCTTTAAAGTGCGGTCCCCCGCCCACTCTCCCCCCCCCCCCCCCCCCCCCCCCCCCCCTTCCCCTGCGGACCGTGACCATGCACTTCACGGCACGCGCGCCATTGATGGCCATCCTGGGTTTGGAGGAGTTGGCGGGTCTTGTGCGGCTGTAAAAGGATTGCGTTTGTTGGCTTGAAGGACATCTCGTGAACCTCTTGACATGTCTTCAACGATCGCCTTGTCATGCATGATTTGCAAGTATATTTATGGTGTGAATGTGGCATACAAGGGCTTTCAAAATTCTTGGAAGCTTCCATCCACCGCCCGCCCGAACCAAACAACACGAAACATGGCTCACGGTTTGTGCGTGTGGGAATGTCAACAACCCCCACCTGCGCCTGAGGGTCTTGCTCGGGAGTCGCCGCAGGCTGTGCAACCTCCCACCTAAACCCTAAACCGTCAACCCTAAACCCTAAACCCTAAGACCTAAACCCTAAACCCTAAACCCTAAAACCCTAAACCCTAAACCCTGAACCCCAGACCCTAAACAAAAGCATCTGCATGCTCTTGAGGACGTGTGCAGCGGCCAGACAGCCACGTTCCAGCGTGGAGCCGACATCCAGCGCGCCGTTTCCAGGAATGGCACTCAATTGGTTTAGGGTTTAGGGTTTAGGGTTAGGGTTTAGGGTTTAGGGTTTAGGGTTTAGGGTTTTAGGGTTTAGGGTTTAGGGTTTAGGGTTTAGGGTTTAGGGTTTAGGTGCCCATTCCGATGAGGCTCGGCCAACGAAAGCGAAACAAAAACTTCCGATTTCAGTGGCCGAGGGCTTGCGAAGCGGGCTGTGTCCTCCCTAAATTTAAACCCTCAGAAAGCAAGTACATCACGAATTCAGGCACCTAAACAGCCCCAGAACTGCCAAAGACTAACTCCAGAGTTTATGTTGGTTACTTTATAAGGGCACCTGGAACCCCAAAAAGGGCAAAAGGGTACCATTAATTCCCCTGTGAGGGGGTTAAACAACCCCAGAACTAGCTCTAGCGCTACTTGTGTGTTACACTCTTGTCTCCATCGTTTTTTCACTTGCTACGGGATTCAAGGATAATCCTCTTTCCTTTCACCCTAAACCCTAAACCCTAAGCCCCCCAAGCTGCTTGTGCGAAGCTACGCTGAAATGCCAACCGAGGAGCTCCACTGTGAGGTCCTGAACCTTCCTGTCACCTGACCGACGGCTCTGCGCTTTCGAGCTGTTCAGTTTAGGGTTTAGGGTTTAGGGTTTAGGGTTTAGGGTTTAGGGTTTAGGGTTTTGGGTTTTGGGTTTTGGGTTTTGGGTTTTGGGTTTTGGGTTTTGGGTTTTGGGTTTGGGGTTGGGGTTTCGGGTGTCGGGTTCGGGGTTTGAGGTTTTGAGCGCTTTTGCTACGGTTGCGATTCGAACTGCGAGGTTTCCGGGCTGCTTAAGGGCCCTCTCCGATGCCAATTCTGCTCAGGCATTTATGCCGTAGCATGTAAACGGTGTCCGGGCTCTTGATTGTCAGGCAGCTAAAAAGTTCTCAGCGGCATGTTCGCGTTAGTGCCTTCGGGGCTTGTGCATCCTGAGGTTTGATGCAACTAACGAGCAGCCAAAGAGAAACCGAAAAACCACGGCCGAACACACTAAACTCAGCAGATAACCTGTGGAACCCTCCCCTCCTTGCTGGCAAGTTGCCATGGTTCTTCAGCAAGTCTGCCTTAAGAGCGTTCTTCTCCTTTGCCAACTTGGAAATCTTGCCCTGCCAGCAGCTTGCGAAGGCGGGACTGGAGATATCGTTCACGTTTTTTAGGGGTCAAAGGTCTAGGGTTTAGGGTTTAGGGTTTAGGGTTTAGGGTTTAGGGTTTAGGGTTTAGGGTTTAGGGTTTAGGGTTTAGGGTTTAGGGTTTAGGGTTTAAGGTTTAGGGTTTAGGGTGTTAGGGAGGATCGGAGGATCGCAAGCTACGATCCTCGACTAGATCGATCTGGGGAGACACTTGGTCTCGATGTCCGTTTGGGCCGTGCAGGGCTGCTTGCTGGGCTTATGGCTTAAGGGTTTGAGGTAGCTCTTGAACCCTAAACCCTAAACCCTAAACCCTAAACCCTAAACCCTAAACCCTAAACCCTAAACCCTAACCCTAAACCGTGATGCACTACTCCACTACACTTTCTCCACCTAAATTTGCAGATGAACCGCACGGATCGAAGCGCATTCCCCCGGAGCTATATCAAGACCCTGTCATGTTGTCTTTGCATAGTGCTTCTGGATCCGCCCCAAGATACAACAAAGCGAAATGCATTTCAATCTGTAAGGTGTTCAGGTGCTTAGACGAGTCTCGGGGGTGTGATATAGGGGCCTTCATAGTAAGAATAGGGTTTTCGGGCGTCCTTGTAGTATATTTATAAAGGGGCATAGGGGAATATGATTTTTGAATGCGCTTGCACCTTGAGATCTGCCACGACCGCGGAGTCAGAAGCAGTCGCTTGCGGAGAGATTCCCGCATTCACATGTCGCACGATGCCTCGGCTCAGGGGGGGTTTTTTGAGTTCCTGCCCGTCTTCTCTCTGGTGATTTACACGTTTTTGTGCTTGGGGCTTAGGGTCAGCCGTGCTTCGGGCTTAGGCCCTTCGTGAAACTGGAGGATGCCCACGGAGAGCTTTCAAAGTTGGGAGGAGCTCCATCTGCCGCAGTTCCTGACTGCTTTTTGCTCTTGCACAAGGGCCCAAGGAACTCTTCAATAAGAGAACTGCTGTGGAATTTCCCGGGCCCAAACCCAGGGTCCTGAAGCCTCATGTCTAGGTGGCTTGCGAGACACTGCTTAATCAAAGTTTGGGTCATGATGGAAAATCCGAATGGCTACAAGTAAATGCCACCAGCCGATAAGATGAAAGCCCTGAAACTCCCCAGCGACGTCCACACGACCTCGCAAATACTTCGTGCAACCCTAAACCCTAAACCCTAAACCATAAACCCTAAACCCTAAACCCTAAACCCTAAACCCTAAACCCTAAACCCTAAACCCTTTGATTGCTGTCCACAAAGCCCTAGCCCTAAATTCTCTGACCCCTCAGGGCGACCCCGGCACGGCCCACGCGCTCCATCGCAGCTCGGAAAGGCAGTGCTCGCAGACTTGAGGCAGACTTCAAAATGGCTGCGGATGCCAGGAACTTAAGGACCTCTTCGAACCCTAACCCTAAACCCTAAACCCTAAACCCTAAACCCTAAACCGCCTAAACCCTAAACCCTGGGCCCCTTTTAACTCTTCAGGGACTTCAGGACCCTTAGAACTCCACAAGGGAGTTGCTGCGGATGGCTTTCAAAAGCGAGCACTCAACTGGAGCTACAACTCGATGAGCCACCTCAAGCCTGAACATCAACTAACCACACCCACAGAACTATCGCTTCCTTAGGGTTTAGGGTTTAGGGTTTAGGGTTTAGGGTTTAGGGTTTAGGGTTTAGGGTTTAGGGTTTAGGGTTTAGGGTTTAGGGTTTAGGGTTTAGGGTTTAGGTGTTCAAGGAAACAAAGAAGGTGGGAAGACACTGGAAGACCCGCCCCTCCGCATCCCGCAAGAAAGCCCCCAAGAACACGGATAAGAGCAACCCAGGGGGAAGGAAAGGGGGAAGGAATCCACACCCTTACCAAACCCTAAGAACCCAGGCACTACTTTTTGAACTTGTGGCTTTCTGTTCAAGCCCATCTTGAGCCAAACATAATTTCCGGGTTTATTAACCCTTCCAACTCTCAACACTAACTCTTTTCTACAATACCAATTGCAGCTCCGCACTCCCCCTGTCCTAGGATTTCCTAGGACACATTGGAGATGCAGATCTTTTGGCCAAAAACTGCCTTTAAGGCAGCAGCCAGCTGCTTGAAATGCATGTTATGGTTTAACGTCTTCCAGGACGGAATTATAGCACATTGGCTAACCTACTACCCACAGAGAATCTCTTTTCACCATGATCCTCTCATCACTGAAGACTCCTTGGCCTTCTTCACCACAAACCGTGGTCTTCGCTACGCGAAAAGCTACTGACTTCTACTATCAGGGATTTCCATACCCTTAATAGTAACCACCACATTGTCAGCACATTGGCTGTTCCAGCGCACCTGTCTCCAGAAAGAGAAAAACCATCCCTTCATCCATACCATCCAATCACTTCTTTTTCCGATTGTTGGCAATCTTGAGGTGAAGTTGCAGCAGAATATACTCCAGGTCCGAAACTGTAAGAACAGGATCCTGTACGCCCCTTTGAATTGAGGATACCAATCCTTCTCTCTTTGCGTCCTCAATCGCCTGGCAAGATTGACCCAGCTCTGCATTCGCAGTGGCAGACCCTGGTGCATCCGCATCAGATGGACGATCCTTTTCCTCAGGATCTTGCACCATTACCACCTCTTCTTTTTTGGGACTCTGACTTTTCTCCCTCTTCTTTGTCTTTCCACCGACATTTGACTTTGCGCGCGTCTTCGAGGATTTTTCCACTGCAGAAGCCACCACATTGGATGTTGATCCACCCTTCTCAATGATCGTCGGCATCTTCTTCGGCTTTGGAACCATGAGAGTGTAAGGATCTTCGATAGCTGCAGCTTTCCTCTTCTTTTTTACCTTTTTCTTCTCTTCTTCAACGGCAACCTCCGTCTCCGAAGTCTCAACCACTCCTTTTTCGGCAGGAATATCCTTGCTGGACTCCCTTTCTAGGGACCTCTTTTTACCTCTTTTGGAATCCTTTTCCTCTCCCAAATTGGCTCGCTCATACCATATCCTCAGGTCATTGACCCATTCTTCCACCTCCGCGAGCGAAACCTCATACGACTTCACTACTTCGAGAAGTTCCAGCACGGTCAACATTTCAGTGGTCCACGAAACCCATTCTTGATCCATTTGGTCAGCATCTCCAGTGAACTTCAGGAGTTTGAACAATGGGTCCGCCTCTGCTCGAGCCAAATCTGGCTTGCCACCGGACAGAAATGAAATCGCCTCCATCAACAGTTCCGTCATCTTGGTCTCTTCGTCATAAACCATAAAATCCTCCTCATCATCATCGAACTGTTCAGGAGAGATCTCCTTTTCTCCACCATTTGCACCAGACTTTCTCCTTGGACCATCCCTTGGGGGCGTCCTTGGAGACCTTGGCCTCTGTTCTTCCAGCGGAACACCATGCTCGAAGACACACCTGTCACCAAACCGACACTTCCCAGACCGAGCAAACTGGACGCACCTCACACCAGTTGCATCATGCGAGAACCCACAATCCTTTCCAGCGAAACATTCTCTCCCTGCCACATAGTATTTACACCAATACGAATGTAGCACCACATCATCTTCGGAATGGATGAATTTGCAGTCGTCACCGAATTTGCAGCGATCTTTCCCCTTGCCGAACCAATAGCAGAAACCCTTCTTCCTCTTCTCCAAGCGCTCTGCCTCATACCGGTCCATAGGGCGATTGTGCTCTACATGAACATTGCCATGTACCTGGGGACTGCTCCCTTCACCCGACGTGCTATCAGTATTTGGTGCTTGGAGTACAGCTGGAAAACCTGGCCTTGGTCCTACCACCTTCATGATCGGTTTTCCGCCAACTCCTGAGCCATGCTGAGACGATCCAAAAACATTGAACATCTTCGTGAAGGCCTTTCTAGTGCCAATCTTCTGCACCCTTTTGATTGGACGTTTCATTGCTCCAACCTTGCATCCAGATGCGTTCAAACGACACAACCTCCTATAACCAACTCTATGTCCCTTCTTCCAAAGAGCCATAAGAATTTTAGAGGCAGTAACATTCTCCACCTCTACCTTTTCCAATGGTCCCTCACTTCCCGGAACAAACCCATCCATATCTGAAGACCTTTTCATCTTTTTTGACACCACTTCGTCGAGGTAGTCTTCCGAGATCCAGGGTAAGTTCCCCTTAGAGGAAGGATTGTCATCATTGTTTGGTCCTTCACCAGGATACCCTTTTGTGCTGTCAAAGATCTTACCAGTAGTGCGGTCCTGCATAGAGAAATTCGAAGCCACGCGGGAGTATACTGACCACAAGAAAATCCTTGTGTCCGCCAGTCTTGATGACCCACTGGATGTCTCCTCTTCCGGAGAAACTTCTGGCGCTTTGCCATCCCCTCCAGTGTCACCACTTGTCTCACCTCCAGCATCTTCAATGGGGATAAGGGATTCATTGTTCCCTTGATCAAGCACCGCATCCTCTGGTCCAAGAACTTCCAGCACCGCTGTCGAAGGATCCACCTCTTCATCAGCATCGTCGTCCATCCTTCTCCAGAGAGCCTCCAATTGGTCCGCACAAGTCGCCGCTTGAAGGAACTCCATCAACCGAGCCCTCCCGCGCTGCCAGAGAAATTCCGAAACCATCACCGACCCTTGGGCTCCAAGATTCAGGAATGGGTGAACCATTTTGGCTACCCTCGCCATAAGTTCAATGTGAACTTCCATGCCTGGACTGCGACTCCAATCATAGGCAATTGCCTCCATAGCAGTTCCAAACTTGTCAGTATTCTTGAATTCCCCTTCCAGACCAGGAGACAACAAGGCACCCATCACCGAAAGAGGGTAATTTCCCACCGCCGGCAAGCACGGGTTGTCATGGAACGAATGATGCAGGTCACTATAATGTCCTTGATCTCTCCTTTGAAAAAGGAGTGCTCCAGTCCCTAGCTGGGCATTCATTTCATCCACTTGAACCATTTCAGCACATATCCTCTGTGCCATGTACGCCATTGCTGGCCAGACGGAACGATCGGTAAGACCGCGACGCATAACCCAATCAGTTGTTGGCGACTGAATCAGCGTCCTTGGATCATACACCAGAACTACCATCGCACCGTCACCCATTGACTGATCAGCATCGTCCTCCAGTGCCAGGTTCTCATCCTGTTCGCTTGCACCCTCGGATGACATGCTAATAACCAAATTTCGATCCATCTTATTGGACCCTTTTTGGCAGTCTCTTTGCCCCACCGGCAACTTGCCAACTGCAACCTTCCAATAAATCCGAGTCAGAAGGCCTTTAACCAGCAATTGCTGAAGGTCATTCCTCACCGGACCACCATCCAATATCTTCGCATCATCACCACGGAGTTCATTGCTCCCACCTTCTCCTTCTTTTTGGTCAGTCTCCTCGCCAGAAATCTGTACTGCTCCTTCCGGCGCCGTCTCCTGTCCAGCCACTTCTTGCCCAGGAAGAACTTGAGCGCTTTCAGAGACATTCACCTGTCCAGCAACACCTTGCCCAGGTAAAACCTCATCCGTGGAGCCCACCGCCAGCGAACCAACCATAACTGAACCATCCCTTGCTCTTTTTTGAGACCGTTCAGCTCGACGAGAAGGTTGTGGTAGCGAAAAAACTTGTGAAGTCACTTCTTGGCGGGTCTCCCCCCGCGACGCTTTGTCGCGCCCTTCGCCAAGGTGAACCGACTTTTTCGGCCCGTCATTGGAGCCTGAAGAACCACTTTGCGGAACATTGCCACGACTCGCAGTTCTCTGTGAAGCCCCCCCTTGCAAAAAAAAAAAAAAGGTTCCCTTCAGGCGCTGTGCGGCATTGGTCTCCTCTTCGCTTGAATCGCTTGAGGAAGCGGCATACGAGACCAAAGCCTCCGCCTGTTCATCATCATCCACCACATCTGCCCACGCTCTGCTGAACCGATACGACAACCCACCACGAGGCTTCAGTTCCAGTGGCTTCGGCTTTTCCACCACTTCCGCCGGTTGCACTCGTCGTTGTGACCGAGAGCGTGGCACCTGTCGCACCTGTTTTTTGTCCAGCAAGGGCCTTCCCCTTCTCACAGGGTTTGATCTTGACCGATACTTTTTTGTTGGTGGATTCACCGGCGGCATTCCAACTCCCACCAACCGCAGCTTCTGTACGCACAACGGAGACCTCTGCGCAAGCGTCCAACCATCACGGTACCTGACCTTATCAAAAAGCTCCCGATAGGAGCCTCTCGGCATGGTTTTTGCACCGGAGTCTTCAGCTTCACGCACCTGAGTGAGGGTTCGCACCGTCGCTCTTCCAGTTCCTTTGTTCCCAGAAGATTGTTGTACCCGTACAGATGCATCAGAAGGAACTGCCTTTTCCGGTCCTCCCGGGCGATATCGGACATCACCAACCAATTGCAGAATTTTGCATGCGGTCACTTTGTTGATCCCTTTGTCAACCAAATCTTCCACAAAGATGAACTCTTGCAAGTCCGACACATTGGTCACACCAAGCGTAATCATCACCTCACTTACATGAGGGGTATACACCCACAGGTGTGCGTTGCGAGCCATCCAATTTTCAATTGGCTCCTCCGGATTTTGAAGCTGAGTACCAGTGGATGCAGCCACCGAATTCTTTTGTTCATCAGCTTCTGCTTCATCCAGAATACCTTTTTCACCATCTTTTTGTGACACATTGGTCATTTGCAGCGCTTTTGGTGCCGAGGATGAGGAAGATTCAGCTCCCCCACTCGCAGGTGGCTGAAAAGTGCTTCTATCCGTAATCTCCCATCCTCTCTCTTTTTCAAACCGGACCTGATTGGCCACCTGTACCAAGTGTTTCAGGAGCGTCAGCCGCTCCTCTGACATCTCGTCATGGGAGTACTTGCAGAAATTTGACCCTTTCCGGCAACGTCCTCTGAGGTAATAATCGAAACAGCAATGGTGGAACCCTGCGTCCCTTAGTGACTTCCTGGAAGCATTGTCCCAAGATTTGCCGGGCTCCCAAGTCCCTTCCAATGCTATGTCATCGTTGTGAAGATACCTGCATGTAGTCCCATATTTACAACCACCTTGATTGTAATACAGACACAGACGACCTTTTGGCTCACCCGACGTAGGTTCACCCTTTGATGCACCTTTGCCAAAATTGTACTTGGCCCGGAAGGCTAAATCCTCCCGCTCCTGCTGTGCCTCATCCACTGTACCTTCCTCTGTGGGAGGGTCACCGATGTTCCCATCCTCATCATCAGCTTCTTGGCTATTCTTTGGATCAGTTGACCCTCCTCCTGGCCAACCTTCACCATAACGACGATGCTCATAGGAACACTCATCACCATTGCGACACCTTCCCCGATTGAAGAACTTGCACAGCTTGCTGTAACCAGGTGACAACACAGTCTTTGGAGTCATGTGAGCCTTTTTGTACTGGTCAGGGTCCATGTAGGCTTCCATTGGCTTGTTCTCCCTTTTGCTCATGGATTGCACTGCACCATCAAGCTCCTGCAAAAATAGCTTGGTGTCCAACCAAAGCGCGTTCCAAAACTCATCTTCCCCTTGATTCAGCACCGTTGCCACCGCTTCACCCACAACTGGTCGAGAAAATCTCCTTTTTCTGCATGCCAGTTCGAAAAGCGCGTTGTGGTACTGTTTTCGGGAAAAAGTGGTTAACTTCCCCAAGCCTGTGCTTTCTGTACCATCAGGCTTCCAACCATCATTTTGCAAGATGCCATACGCGCGCCGAGCTTCCGCATTGAGGAATGCCTGATCTGCAACACACTCCTGTAAATCTTCCATCGGGCGACCCAACAGCATCCCAGTAATTTTGCCAACATAGGCTTCCTCTTCGTTTCCATTCTCCAGAAGAGCTTTGTAGATCTTTTCTCCATAAAGTTGCCTTTCTTCTCGTTCTTCAGAGGATAACTCCTGTACCACAAGCTCTTCATCGGATTGCTCTTCCTCCTGTTTCCAGTCCCATTGACCGTTGGAATCTTGGTACCATTGACCAGCATACCATGAATTCGTCCACCACGTACTCCAGCCGCTGGGTTTCCATTTCCGCAGCGTTGAGGAAGAGTCCTCCACGTCCTCTTCCAAAACCAGAAAGGTGTCCAAGATTATGGTACCATCATCTTCCACTAGTTTCACTGTTCCATTGACAGTATCACCAAATCTGAACTGACACGTATTGTTCCCTTCTGCAGGAATCAATACATTCAAATCACCAAGGTCCAAAAAGGCTCCATACCCATTGATGCAGCGCACTAGACCCATGATCTCATCTCCCTCTTGATAGCAATGTGTCCCAGGTGATTCCAAGGCTCCCGCTCGGGGCACTTTCTTTGCATGCTCTTCAGAAACCACCTCTGTATCATCGGCTCCTGGCGCATCCTTTGTTTTCACCTTTGGGTCACACCGCTCGTCCTGCTCCACGAGTCCCACAAGCTCATCTTTTTTGTGCTCCTGGACTTCAGGACCTCCCTTTTTCTTCGCCAAAGGCTTTGCCTCATCTGCTGTAATTCGCTCGGTGTCGACTTCCGGCGAACTTCCAGACGGCAACACTTCTCCCTTCATGGGAGTGGACCCATCATTGGAGTCCTTTGTCACACCTTCTGCAGCAGGCAAATCTTCTTCCACTGCAGGGCGATTGAGTCGATCATCCACGGCAGGCACGCTTTCTTCCACCGCAGGCTCCCTTGGTTCCATGGCTTCCAAAGGAGAATTTCCACCATCGTTGACCACAGCTGCCTCATTGGCTCCGGTGTAGCCCTTGTCATTTCGTTCCTCGCGGCTAACTTCAGGTTGCACCAGTGCGTCCACCTGTGAACCTCCATCATCAGCTGCTGCGGAGACCTGCGCCCCATTGTTGCAGTCGCCCGTGGAACGTAACACCATATGCACCTCAACCCGTGCTTCCTTCGCACTCCAGGTAATATCTGGCGCATCGACCCGCGCATCATTGGCGCTCCAGGCCTCATTTTTCAGATCTTCCGTGTCTCCAGCTATTCCAGAAGCTTCTTTTTCCCCTTGAATGGCAGGAATCTTGGCACCAAACGAAGAGACCTCCTCAGTCGCAACACACGACCTTTTCCCTCCGTCTTCCAAATCTCCAGGACCACATTCCTGAACGACAGGTACCACATCCACCACTCGCTCTTCTGCAGCCGACACAGTTCCGATCTCCACATTGGGAATCTTTTCTTCTGGACCTACCGATTCCACCGCTGCCACACCCTCAGAAAGTGCTCCCATTCCTTCCCGATCCAGATGTTGAGCTCCAGCGATGTCTGCTCGGTTTCCAGGAATCTCCTCCTCATCAGGAGAACCCGAGGTCGGGGCGTCACCACCAGCCCTAGGACCGCTATCCCTGATAGTAGAGGAAAAATCTTTTTCACCTAAACTATTTACACTACCCTGGAATGCCCTCGTAGACTCAGTCTTCGGAGTAGAGGATGAAGAATCCAGTGCCGCCTCCATTTCCAGCTCATTGCCCGAAGGAGACCCAACCACCTCGTCACTCTTCATCTTTTCACCTACCACCGGCAATGTCCACTTGCTTTCCTGCGTATCCAGGCAGTAATAATATTGTCTCCCATCTTCATGGAGGTGCCATTCCCACGTTGTCCCATCGCACGCTTTGATCAGATGCTCATCTTTCCGAAAACCACCCCTTTCAGAGACCTGACGCATCTCGTCCTCCTCTTCGGACAACTGTTGCAACCTCTCAGCCTCCATCTGTAGGATCTCCTCCTCCCCCATGGCGTATTCAGCAGCAGGTGCAGCTTCAAAGCTGTCCGCACCCTTCTGTTCGTGACCGCTTCCACCACCTTGGGAACTCGAAGATGGATCCCTTTTGATCTTGTTCAGAGGCCTCCTGGCCGCTTGCAGCACTTCTCCAATCAGATCGGTCTGAGACTCTTGGTCTACCATTCGACCCGAAGTCGAAGTCGACGGCTGATACCCGTGTTTGTGCAACACTCGTAAAACAGTCACCTCCATTTCACGATCTATACCACCAGTCGCGTCCCAGTTCCTTTTCTCACCAGGCTTTGGCGATACAGAGACAGCACGTCCTTCAGCTTCAGTATTGCTAACCATATCCACATTGGGGTTCATACCCACATTGGGGCTTTCTGCAACCAAGGCTTCTTCCAGATGTTCTTCAGCGCCGGGAATCACCTCTTCCAACACCGATCTTTCACCCAGAGACTCAGCTGCACCATTTCCAGCTCCACCATTTTGTCCACCATCCGAGGCAGGTTGGAGCCATCGCTTCGGAGAAGGCATTGCTTCTTGATCCCAAAAACCTTGAAAGAACACTTAACCGCAGGGAACCTAATTTGGGCTCATAACCTACGGGGGGACAACCAAGGAAGGAAATCAACTCCCCTAATCGCCCTGAACTTATATTTCCCAGATCGAACCAAGAAACAACCAAGAACACGGATAAGAGCAACCCAGGGGGGAAGGAAAGGGGGAAGGAATCCACACCCTTACCAAACCCTAAGAACCCAGGCACTACTTTTTGAACTTGTGGCTTTCTGTTCAAGCCCATCTTGAGCCAAACATAATTTCCGGGTTTATTAACCCTTCCAACTCTCAACACTAACTCTTTTCTACAATACCAATTGCAGCTCCGCACCCTAAACCCTAAACCCTAAACCCTAAACCCTAAACCCTAAACCCTAAACCCTAAACCCTAAACCCTAAACCCTAACCCCTAACCCCCCCCCCCCTGGGCTTCCGGGAGGCACCTGGAAGTCGAGGCTGAGCAGGAGGAGCTGAAGCGTCTCGAGCAGCTCTGCTGGGATCGCCTCTTCAGCTCTCCAGGGAAACCCTAAACCCTAAACCCTAAACCCTAAACCCTAAACCCTAAACCCTAAACCCTAAACCCTAAACCCTAAACCCAGGGTTTTTATTTCTTGTACCCCCAAAAGGGCACCCAACTCACCAATATTAAAAAGGAACCTGATATGCACTCACCGAAAACAGTAATGTAAACCCTCTTTCACAGGAGGGCACAGGAGGCAGCTCTTTGGATGGCTTGGGATGTTCCCCCCTACGGTCCTCAATAGGGATTATAGTAGGGGGCACAATAATCCCTATAAAGGTTCGTATAAGGGAGAACATCCCAAGTGGACGGCCATAGAGAGCTGGCTCCAATGCTGCTAGAATGGGAGTGGGGTGGGAGTTTCTGCAGCTTGGACAGGCCATTTCAAAGGAGAGGCTTTTGCAGGTTTTGCGGGGGGTTGGCCCGCAGGATTGTTTTCACCCAGTGATTCCAGAGAAGCTTTGGGTCGTCTGGAATCTCAGGTGTTGGGTTCTTTTGGCACTCATGACAACGTTTAGGAGCATCCCTGTCTTTTTGGCGCAGGCCGTCTTGCTGAATGCAGATTGTATGCGTCTTCCTTTCTGCAAGCTCTTACACGGCAGGTTAGCGTCAGAAATGTACATTGTTTGCAGGTTCTCTTTCTTTTGGCAGGCCTTGATAGCCCTTCTGGGACGCACCAGAGATAAACAAAGGAACGCCAAACCCTAAACCCCAAGAACCTAAGTCCCGAAAAGCCTAGAAGGCTTAAACCCCAAAGGGTTAAAAACCAACCTGAAAACCTATGAACTCTAAGCCGAACGCAAGAATCCCACCCCCAAACTTGCACCAAAACCGCTTAATGATGCCCTGGAGTCCCAAACTGAAGAAAGAAAAGCAAGAGCCTCTACGCCCTGAAGCTGGTCCCCTAAACCCAGACCTAGGCCGGCTAAACTCCCCTCAACCCCCTTAAACCCCCTAAACCCCCCTTTAACCCCCCTTAAGCCCCCCCAAACCCCCCCTAAACCCCCCCCCTTTAACCCCCCCCTAATCCCCCCAAAACCCCCCTCTGCAGAAAACTTCACTGTGGCACATTTGGCTTTTTTGGTATGTTTACTCTAGCTTTTTCTGGAAATATGCAGAATCTCAACCCCCTGGGAAGCCGCGCGTTCGCCGGGTAGGTCGTCAGGATCGGAACCAGCAACTTGCGGCCCACTGACTCTCGGAGCATCCTTTTACGAGGGGGTGGTTCAGGAATTTCCCCAAGGTTCTGGAGGGGGCCGAAGGTTTAGGGGTTTCGGGTTTAGGGTTTAGGGTTTCGGGTTTAGGGTTTAGGGTTTAGGGTTCTAGGTTCTAGGGGTTCAGGGCTCTTCTGGATTGTCGAGCTCCTGTTCAAGAGCCAGGAAAAATCTTCCAGGACATTGGGGGGTGGTTTGAGGGTTACAAGGGCTTGCGGCAGGGCCCGAGCGCTTCGGGCTCAAAAGTTGCCCGAACCCGGGCCCAAAAAGCCCTGATACGATCCAAACACTATCTGCACGTTCCCGAAGCAGACGCCAGGAGCCTCAAATAACCTCACAAACACAAATCTCGAGCCAAAAACGCCCCAACACCCCAACACCCCCACACCCTGGAAACCCTAGAAACCCTAGAAACCCTAGAAACCCTAGAAACCCTAGAAGCCCTAGAAACCCTACAAACCCTAGAAACCCTAGAAACCCTAGAAACCCCAACACCCCAACACCCCCAACACCCCCCCAAGGCGCGCCTCAGCTGATCCTGGGGGTTGACGCCCGCGGGCAGCGATGAGGCCAGTGGGCTAAGCAGCTCCTGAAGGATTGTTGAGACCCCGCGTTAGGGTTTAGGGTTTTAGGGTTTTAGGGTTTAGGGTTTAGGGTTTAGGGTTTTGGGTTTAGGGTTTAGGGTTTAGGGTTTAGGGTTTAGGGTTTTAGGGTTTAGTAGGTCTGCAGTTGAAGGGCGGGGTTGAGAGTTGGGGGCTTAACGGCTTACTCTAGTGTTTCGGGCTTCGGGGTTGATGTCGAGTGCAATGTTTGAGGCAAAAAGTTTTCTTGCGGCGCGCTCTTCTGGAGCTGTGGGATTACCCTAAACCCTAAACCCTAAACCCGAAACCCTAAACTCTAAACCCTAAACCCTAAACCCTAAACCCCTGCAGCCTCCAGCCGCGCTGCCAGCTCCTTCCGTGGCCCTGAGAGGCGCTGGGCATCCTTTCGCGCCTCAGGTTTTAGGGTTTTGGGTATAGGGTTTAGGGTTTAGGGTTTGGGGTTTGGGGTTTAGGGTTTAGGGTTTGGGGTTTAGGGTTGAGGGTTGAGGGTTTAGGGATGTTGGGGGATGTTGGGGGGCGAGGGGATGGGGGGGGCAGGGCAGGGGGCAGGAAAAGGGTCGCCCTCTAATCTGCCAGTTCAGAAACTAAGTCGTTCGACGTCTATGGCTCCAACTCAGAGTCTGGGTCTAGCAAAACAGCGATGGAGTTCAGAAGGCTCTGAGAACATTCTGCTAAAGCCACTGCACCACGACAAGCTCAATGGATGGCAGGCTTGAAAAGCAAGGTACCCTGCAGCACTTCTACGGACTGCTGTCTCAGAATTTTCTACAATCATACGAGTTCTCTACAATCATAGGATATTTGCTGCTCGTACAGGTGCATGTTTGGCAACTGTTAGCACTTAACTTCGTGGAGGATGCTCAACCTCAAAATCAGGAGTCAAGGCGGCTATCGCCCCTCGGCATGCTTATGTACATGGAACCTTACGTAGCAACGAATCCTACGAAAAAACACTTTCAACAACACCTCCCCCTGCCTTTCTTGATCTCCATCTGCTGCTTGTCCACGAAACGAAGTAAAGCGCAAAGTCTTTAACCAGCACTGCAGCACCCTGTTCCTGTAGATGTTTAAGAATAAAGTTCAATGCTGACGTACATGTCTGTAACAGCGAGACAGTGGATGCGGGTGAGGCGGGAGATGTGGGGCCATCCGAGAAGGAGGGGACTAGGCCCGAGTCCTGAAAGCAATCTTGTAGCCCACCCGCCGCTGAAAGCAAGCTAGATCCCCACCTGCTCCAGCGGGCTTAGGCCAAAAGGCCCAGTGGCTTCCTGAGGCTTGGCAAGATCCAAGCAAGAGAAGAGGCTTCTGGAAGTTAAACAGCCGTGTCTCGGTGGAGAGAAGTGCATGTCGACTGTGTGGAGTTTGGCATATTACAGATGGTCGCGGATTTTAGGGCGCCAGGCTTCAAGTTTGCACAACAGGCTCTGCCGTGCTCTGGGGGACCTTTCGAGGCCGAGCAGGTTGCTACCTTCTCGAACTAGGCTCTCGGGTCGGAGTTCGGAGTTCGGATGCTGTGTTCCGCAACAACTTAAAAACCAAACGTAAGTCCCTGAGCCACAGGACCAAAAGCAAGCAAGAACACACAAAAAAGGGCCTTCGTCGGATGTTTGCTTTGCCCAAAACTCCCTATAGAGCCCTAGTCTTTAAGCCAGCCGGGCATCAACGCAAGCCCCGGCTTCGAGCAACTGCTGCACGACCTGCACGTCAAGGGGAGTATTGGGAGGTGTCTGTTTAGGGTTTTGGTATGGAAGGTCTCGGGGTCTGCTCTGCTACTGCGGCTACAATTGCCAGTACCACCACCACAACCACCACCACGACAACCACCGCCGACCGTGACGACGACGACGACGACGACGACGACGACGACGACGACGACGACGACGGCGGCTACTGTTCCCGACTGCTCCTACGGCTGCTGCTACAACTGCAGCTGCGACTGCGCTTCAGATACTCCTGCTCTGCTCATCCTGCTCCTCCTGCTGCTACTGTTACTGCTACTGTTACTGCTCCTGGTACTGCTACTGCTACTGCTACTGCAACTGCGACTGCCACTACGACTGCTACCGCTGCGACTACTGCTACTGCCACTTCTGCTACTTCTGCTACTACTCCTACTACTGCTACTAGCAGCTGATACTACTGCTACTGCGACTGTGACTGCCACTGCCATTGCCACTGCCACTGCGACCGCTGCTGCAACCACTGCTGGTACTACTGCTGCTATTGCTAGTACTACTGCTGATACTGGTACTACTGCTACTGCTTCTGCTACCGCTGCTGCCGCTGCTGCTACTACTGCGACTGCTCATGCTATCCTGCCCTGGGATCCTCTCAGTCTACGGGCAGAGCTTCTCCATGAGGCCTTTCGGCTTTGGGCGCATTGTTTGTGCAGGTTTTCCTCGAAGCGTCGGCTTCATGAGATGAGTTTACTTCTTTACCCTTTGGCATGGTTTCGGCGATTCTTTGACGAGGCTTAGTCTTTGGGGCTGATAGGCTTGACACTTCCGACCCAGAACTTTAAACCGTAGACCCACCACCCAGCCATCCCACGAAGTCCCTCGCACAGCTCTAACATTGAAAACCTCGACGACCCACTTTTCAAACCGCCGTGGAGCTCAGCTGTAAAGTGCCAACACATGCAAACACACCTCAGGAGGAATCCCCAAACCCCACCCACATCCATGTGAGTCCAACCGGAGCATCCAAAAGCCACCTAATGCTGAAACCTCAGCTCCTAATTAAACCCTAATTAAACCCTAAACCCTAAACCCTAAACCCTAAACCCTAAACCCTAAACCCTAATTAAACCCTAAACCCTAAACCCTAAACCCTTGCACTCTTGAGCCGCCCCTGGCCTCCACGCTGACACCCGCGCGGACGGCCAGGAGCAAGGCTGGGCAGCCCAAACCGTCCACTGCAGAGAGGTCCGCGCTCTTGAGATGCCTTCACGGGGATTTGGGAACAGGGCCTAGGGGACTCTGATTGGCTGTCGGGAATTCGGGCATTAGGGCGCGCCCAAACCCTAAACCCTGGACCAGGACCTGGGTCTTGAAGACAGAGTCTCAGAAAGGGGCTTACGGGTTTCGCGCAGGGGGCTTCAGATACGTTGACGCTTTGAGGGTTTTGGCCCCCACCCCAGCAACGCCACCGCTTGACCAACGCTCTTGTCCCGACGTGTGGCTTTTAGGTGGCCGCAAGTTGCCCACTGATGCAGTCCTCACCTTGTAAGGCTTAAAGTCCTCAGAGCCTGACAAACCCAGGAGCCCCCAAAACAACTCTGCCCCTCTGAACAAGCCCCAAAGGCACCCCCAAGGCACCTGGTCAGGGCAGCCGCATCGCAGTTCTCTCCCTGGGACACCTGAGAAGTGCTTGCGTAGATACTTGACCATGGTTTTTTGGGGCTTTCGGCAGAGACTCACCCAACAGCGCTTCGGACGTGGACCCCTAAACCCTAAACCCTAAACCCTCAACCCTAAACCCTAAACCCTCAACCCTAAACCCTACAGAAAGGGACCCTAAGCTCCAATCATTGCCTCGGTGAAGAGGCCAATGGTGGCTGTCATCGAGCCGCGTGTGCTACCGGCTTTGAGCACATCAGACCTCGTCAGGCAAGGCTTGGACGAGGATTTGCGGGGGGGGAAAAGACCTAGGGTTTAGGGTTGAGGGTTGAGGGTTTAGGGTTTAGGGTCTAAGGTTAGGGTTTAGGGTAGACGTTCTTTGTGGTTCTCCGGCAGTTCCGCATCATCCTTGGGCAAGGAACACATGCCTTCATGGCCGACAGCCTCCAAAATTGGAAGAGAAAAAAGACCACGGGCAGGGACTGGAAGGACGGGAGCTGGCCAAACCTTTTGATCATCCGGGGTCTGGCAACGCCAAGGATGCCGCTGCTCGCCAGCGGCATTCCCCAAGCACGATTCGTGGTTGCTCGACGTGTGGATTTTGGAGCATAATCCGCCGAGGCCTCGGGCCGAAGGTGTATAGGTTGTCAGAACAGGCCCATAAATCGGACCCCTTTTTTTACCTGGGCAGGGTACCCCCCCGTGGGCGACCAGGATGTGAAAGCGGACGACCCGCCTAGCAGGGCCCCCCTGCCCCCCCCCCCCCCCCCTCCACCCTGGCCCCCCCCCCTGCCCCCCCCCCTGCCCCCACCCCCACCACCCCCCCCCCCCCCCCCCCCCCCCCCGCCCCTCCACCCCCCCACGGCTCAACTTTCGATCAATCCAAGCCGAACCGTCTACCTTGAACCTTGAACCTTGAAACCTAAACCCCAAACCGTGAACCTTGAGCCCTAAGCCCTCAACCCTAAACTAACCCTCAACCCTAAACCCCAAACCATAAACCTTGGGTTCCAGCGACTTGGGCGCTGCGGAATCACCATGCTCACGCGGATGCGCTGGGCCGGGCCGAGGCGGGTCGCGTAGCGTTAAAATTAAGGTTCAGGCTCAGGCGGCTCAGTGTTCATAAGCCGTGCTGTCGCTATCTTGGGTGCGCTCCTGTTCGCAACGATTGCTTGTCGATTTGGCTTTGGCCAAAAAAAACACATCCACTGGGATCCAAAACTCCTGAAATGCCGAGCCCCCGGCGGCCGCACCCAGACCATCTGCCGCCCGTCGCGCCAGCAGATGTAGTACCCGAAGCCCTGTTCTAGGGAGCCATATACTTTCAGGAGATGCAAGATGTTCGCGAAGATGCTCGAGTGCTCCTACTCGCATCAGAGGTCCGGACCCTCCATACCCAGGGCACGACATTTCCCTATCCGCAGGCGGAGTACAAGCCAGCACAGGGGGAGTGAGACGTCCAGCGCTGAGTAGTTCTCAACATGGGCTCTTTCTTTCCTAAACCTTCTGCACCCAAACCTGTATGCCCCAGAGGGAGCTGGAGCCCTAAAAGGCACCATGATTTTGAGAACTGCCCAGCTGTGGAGGCTACCTCCACGTTCCATCGCACATGAGTTCAAGCCTGCCTTTCAGCTGGCGAAAATCGTTGAAGACTTCATCCAATCGATCGTATGCTTGGGTTTCGGGGTTCCCTTGCCCCAAGTGCAGGGCCAGTGGTGCAAACTGCGTGCTCTTTCAGCGAAGCTTTCTCAAAGTTTTTTGCGTTCTCGTCAAGTGATATGGCAGGCTCGCGGAAGGAGGGACTTTAGGGCTTCTTAGGCATTAGGTCGTTGCCTTAAACCCTACATGCTCAATGTGTCGTCCCTAAATGCCTGGGAACAACAATGCTAAGCCCAAAAGGCCTGAAGCTCCCCTCAGCTAGGCGGACATCATCCGGGCATGACCTGGACAACATCCGCCTCACAAGGCGGATATCTTCAGGGTTCAAGGGGATTCCGGGGGTCTGGCTTCACCTCTCAATATTTGAGTTTTAGGGGGCTGCTGAAAGTTTCTGAATTTTGGGGAGGGGCGGGGTTGGGGGGGTTTGGGGTCTGTACTCGCGTTGGTTTGACTTACAGGGTCTGGTGTCAGCGATGTACAGCTTGGGGGCAAGGTTCCGAAACCTAAGTCTAAGCCGTCGAGTTGAGATCTGGGCGGCGGCTAGGATTCAGGGTTTTGGGACTTGAACCCCCAAACCGCTACTTTCAGGTGGACCTTTCATGGAACAAAGTGGCGCAACCCCGCGGTGTTGCTCTAACCTTCTGTATTTATCTGTTTGTTTTTCAATTTATATTTGATTGTTTTTTTCTTTTTTTGGGGGGGGGGTCGGGCGCGGGGAGGGCGGAGCGGACCTTCTGATAAGAGATTCGATTATGAGGTACTGGTGACCTAGTCTGGAACAACCCCCCACATGTTCTGCGGGCATTCTGGAAGGTTGCTCTTTCAGATCCTACGCATTCCTTGAGTCGTCAACCGACCTGAAAGCCGCGTCACGAAGAACCACTCAACCCTAAACCCCAAACCCTAAACCCCAAACCCCAAACAAAAAAAACCCTGGACCCAAAACCCCAAACCCAAAACCCTACACCCTAATTGAGGCAGAGCGGAAG